TAGCTGCCTTCAGCAGATGTCTCTAATTGGATGCTGAGGAGCGGGGCAGCGCAGTGGCCCCTTCTGGCTCCTTTGTCCCTTGAGGCAAAGCCACCTTTCCTGGATACACTCTAAGAAGGCGAACCCTCTCTCCCAGTACCTCCAAGTAATCCTCCGATTGTGCCATTGGGCCCCGAGCCTCTGCCCTTCTCCACAGTAGTACTGCTTCTCCCGCTGGGCTCCACTGTGGCCATGGTGCGCACTTCTGAAACTCCAGTCTTTGAGCTCTGCCGTTTGTAAAAACTCAGGATAATCAGCTCCACTCGTTTTCCCAGTTAGTAGTTTTGGGGAAGTGTTTTTCTTACGCTTACCCCTTTGCACTACTCTTCTCATGTTTGTGCTCTTTCTCTCGAGGTTTTGTTTTGTTTTGAATTTTGATATATATTACCAAATTGCCTGGTGGACCATTTGGCAATCCTACAGAAATGTGCCTTTTATTCCACAGCCTCACCAGCAGGAGTTGTGGTCAAACGGAATTTTATTTGAGAATCTTTTTTTTTTCTTAAATAGTTTATTGTGAAGTTGGTTTACGTATAACACCCAGTGCTCATGCCACCAAGTGTCCTCCGCCATGCTCATCGAGAATCTTACAATGTTAGATAAAAAGATGGATGTATATTTGAGTTTGCACTTCTTTCTGTGAGCGAAATTGAGCATCTTTTAAAAGATGGCTCTTTGCATTTCCTTTTCTGTGAACTCTCTCCATTCATGTCTGAGTTTTGGGCATTTTTTTCCTTACAGTTAAGAAGAGCTCTTTACATATTAAAGAGATTTCAAATGTTGATATATCACAAATATTTTCTTCTCCTTATTATTGGTTTTTAAATTTATTTTGTTTTTACATACGGTGTTTTCTGCTTTTGCAGGGGGGTTAACATTTTTTTATATAGTTTATCAGTCTCTTTGTTTATACTTTTGGATTTAATTAGAAAGATTCTCTACACTCCCAAATTATAAATGAATTCACTTATATTTTCTTCTAGTATTAGCATGATTTTACATTTTGACATTTAGATTTTTAATTCGTTTGGAGTTTACCCTGATTTAAGATGTGAGATATATAAGGGTTCCCAGGGGGCTCAGTTGGTTAATCATATGACTTCGGCTCAGGCCATGATCTCACAGTTCATGGGCTCAAGCCCCACATCAGGTTCTCTACTTACAGCATGGAGCCCAGAGCCTGCTTCAAGTTTTGTGTCTCCTCCTCTCTGTCTCTGTCCCTTCCCTGCTCACTCTCTGTCTCTCTTAAAAATAAACATTGAAAAAATTTTAAAAAAGATGTGAGATATGTATCTATTCAGGCTTTTTTAATGCATCTTTTTCGTAGGTATTTGTGATACTGCCTTTTTAAAATATAATTTATTGTCAAATTGGCTTGCATACAACACCCAGTGCTCATCCCAACAGGTGCCCTCCTCAATGCCCATCACCCATTTTTTCCTTTCTCCCTCCCCCCCACCTGCCCATCCACCCTCAGTTTGTTCTTTGTATTTAAGAGTCTCTTGTAGTTTGCCTCCCTCCCTCTCTGTATGTAACTATTTTTTTCCCCTTCCCTTCCCCCGTGGTCTTCTGTTAAGTTTCTCAGGATCCACAAATGAATGAAAACATATGATATCTGTTCTCTGACTGACTTATTTCACTCAGCGTAATACCTTCCAATTCCATCCACTTTGCTACAAATGGCACGATTTCATTCTTTCTCATTGCCAAGTAATATGTCATTGTATATATAAACCACATCTTCATTATCCATTCATCAGTTGGTGGACAGTTAGGCTCTTTCCATATTTTGGCTATTGTTGAAAGTGCTGCTATACGCATTGGGGTACATGTGCCCCTATGCATCAGCACTCTTGTATCCCTTGGGTGAATTCCTCGTAGTGCTATTGTTGGGTCATAGGATAGTTCTATTTTTAATTTTTTGAGGAACCTCCACATTGTTTTCCAGAGGGGCTGCACCAGTTTACATTCCCACCAACAGTGTAGGAGGGTGCCCCTTTCTCTCGCATCCTCGCCAGTATCTATAGTTTCCTGAGTTGTTCATTTTAGCCACTCTGACCAGTGTGAGGTGATATCTCATTTGGCTTTGATTTGTATTTCCCTGATGATGAGTCACATTGAGCATCTTTTCACATATCTATTGGCCATCTGGATGTCTTCTTTGGAAAAGTGTCTATTCATGTCTTCTGCCCATTTCTTCACTGGATTATTTGTTTTTTAGGTGTTGAGTGTGGTAAGTTCTTTATAGATCTTAGATACTAACCCTTTATCTCATGTGTCATTTGCAAATATCTTCTCCCAGTCTATTGGTTGCAACCTTTTAGTTTCGTTGATTATTTCCTTTGCTGTGCAGAAGCTTTCTATCTTGAAAAGCCAGTAGTTCACTTTTGCTTTTAATTCCTTTGCCTTTGGAGATGTGTTGAGGAAGAAATTGCTGTGGCTGAGCTCAAAGAGATTGTTTCCTGCTTTCTTCTCTAGGGTTTTGATGGTTTCCTGTCTCACATTCAGGTCCTTTATCCATTTTGAGTTTATTTTTGTGTATGGTATGAGAAAGTGATCTAGTTTCATTCTTCTGCATGTTGCTTTCCAGTTCTCTCAGTACCATCTGTTAGAGGCTGTCTTTTTTCCATTGGATACTCTTTCCTGCTTTGTCAAAGATTAGTTGGCCATACAGTTGTGGGTCCAATTCTGAGTTCTCTGTTCTTTTCCATTGGTGTATGTGTCTGTTTTTGTGCCAATACCATACTGTCTTGATGATTACAGTTCTGTAGGAGAGGTTAAAGTCTGGGCTAGTGATGCCTCCCGTTTTGGTTTTCTTCTTCAATGTTACTTTGGCTATTCGGGGTCTTTTTTGGTTTCATACAAATTGTAGAGTTGTTTGTTCTCTCTTTGAGAAGAATGCTGGTGTAATTTTGATTGGGATTGCATTGAATGTATTGATTACTTTGGGTGGTATTGATATTTTAACATTATTTATTCTGCCAATCCATGAGCATGGAATGTTTTTCCATTTCTTTGTGTCTTCTTCAATTTCCTTCATAAGCTTTCTATAGTTTTTAGCACACAGGTCTTTTAAAAATCTTTGGTTAGATTTATTCCTAGGTATTTTATGGTCCTTAATGCAGTCATAAATGGGATCAATTTCCTTATCTCTTTCTGTTGCTTCACTATTGGTGTATAAAAATGCAACCTATTTCTGTACATCGATTTTGTACTCTGTGGCATTGCTGAATCCATGTATCAGTTCTAGAAGATTTTAATGGAGTCTTTCAGGTTTTCCCTGTAGAGTATCTTGACTCTTTGAAAAGCAAAAATTTGACTACTTCTTTGCCAATTTTGATGCCTTTTATTTCATTTTGTTGTCTGATTGCAGATCCTAGGACTTCCAGCACTATGTTAAACAACAGTGGTGAGAGTGGACATCCTTGTCATTTTCCTGACCTCAGGGGGAAAGCTCTCAATTTTTCCCCATTGAGGATGATGTTAGTTGTAGGCTTTTCAAATATGGCTTTTATGATGTTTAACTATGTTCCTTCTATCCCAACTTTCTTGAGGGTTTTTATTAAGAAAGGATGTTGTATTTTGTCAAATGCTTTTTCTGCATCTGTTAACAGGATCATATGGTTCTTATCCTTTTTTATTATTGTGGTGTATCTCATTGATTTGCAAATATTGAACCAGCCCTGCACCCCAGGAATGAATTTTTATATGTTGTTGAATTTTATTTGCTAGTGTCTTGTGGAGAATCTTTGCATCCATGTTCATCAGGAGCATTGGCCTATAGTTCTCTTTTTTTGTGGGGTCTCTGTCTGGTTTGGGAATCAAGGTAATGCTGGTTTCATAGAATTAGTCCATAAGTTTTCCTTCAATTTCTATTTTTTGGAACAGCTTGAGAAGGATAGGTATTAACTCTGCTTTAAATGTCTGGTAGAATTCCCCAGGGAAGCCATCTGGTCCAGGACTTAGTTGGGAGGTTTTTGATACCTGATTCAATTTCTTCACAAGTTTTTGGGTCTGTTCAAATTTTCTATTTCTCCCCATTTGAGTTTTGGTAGTGTGTGGGTCTCTAGGAATTTGTCCATTTCTTCCAGGTTGTTCAGTTTGTTGGCATATAATTTTTCATAGTATTCTCTGATAATTGCTTGTATTTCTGAGGGATCATTTGTGATAAATCCATTTTCATTCCTGATTTTATGTACTTCAGTCCTCTTTTCTTTTTGAAAACTCTGGCTAGGGGTTAGCACAGAGTCCAACATGAGGCTCGAACTCACAAACCGTGAGATCATGACCTGAGCTGAAACCAAGAGTTGGATGCATAACCAACTGAGCCACCCTGGCGCCTTGCCTTGGGCTTTTCTTGAGGAAAACCCAGTTTCATAGACAAAAGGATGGGACTGGTTGCAGCTACCGTTGATCCATAGTATTTATGCATTGTAGGGAGTCATGACCTTCTTCTTACGTGCATTTTTAAACTTTACTTGCAATCATAAGAGAACGCATGAAGCAGATAATGAAGGAATATCATACTGGATGCTTTGAATTGATTTTTTTCTTACAGTTTTGATTGTATAATCTCCATTTACTGGATTAGCATATATCTAGCATCTTGGGACTTAATAAACTTGACTTATTCCTCCTTCTTGCAATTGACACTTTAAATTATTTGTTTATAGTAAAAGGTTCATATATTGGGAAAAAGTCAATCCAATTTTCTTTATTTTCCTTCCTTACCTTATGCTATATACTCTTACTTATAGATACAAATATTTTAAATGTAGAATAAACCCATAATACCCTGTCAGAAATCCAAGCTGCTCAAGTATACAGAATTTTAACTGGTTTTCACACACACTATAGAATGTTAGCTAAATTTATTTTACCAGTGAATAGTTTTGTCTGTGTATATATTTTGTAGAGCATTAATAAATACCATTCCTCATTAATTAAATCTTTGTTTTCAGATCTTGATTCTTCACAGAGTAGTCAGTCTACCAGTTGTTCTCCAAGGCCAACAGATAGTTGCTTCAGTTCTAGTTCAGAGATGGTAAGTTACTTTTTTTTTTTTGCTTATTAATTTATGCTCTACTAATTGAGAATTACTTGTATTTCTCATAGGTTACCTTTACATTCTAAAACAATAATTGTCAATAAATAGTGAAAATAAATTTAAACAATTTAAAAATATTTCATATGTAAGAAAAATATAAACAGAAATGTAAAATTGAACTATAGGTGAACACCATTCATTCACATTTATAAAAATGATGTGTTCAATGTTATTTATAAAAGCCACTCCTACCAAGATATGTGTGTGTGTGTGTGTGTGTGTATGATAAAGTTAGATTTCTTTTAAAATGCTTTTTAAAGGAGGGACACCTGGGTGGCTCAGTCAGTTGAGCATCTGACTTTGGATCAGATCATGGTCTTGTGCGTGGTCTGTGAGTTCGAGCCCCATGTCAGGCTCTGTGCTGACAGTTCAGATTCTGGACTCTGCTTCAGATTCTGTGTCTCCCTCTCTCTTTGCTCCTCCCACCCCCCACCCCCCCAAAAAAACATTAAAAAAAATTTTAATACATTTTAAAAGAACCCACTCACAATAATTGAAAACCTAAAACAACTAAGAATACATAGAAAAAGTCCAAAGGCTTAGATGAAGAAAACTATAAAATGTTGAAGAATGTAATCTGAATAATTGGAGTGTTATGTCCTCATGTTATGTCCTTAGTGGGAATGCTGCATTTCTCACAAATTACAGGTTAAATGGAGTTCTACTTCACTCATTCTTCCATGTTCATATGTTCATTTCATCTCCTGGGTTTTTGTTTGTTTTTGTTTTTGTTTTTTGTTTTCTCTCTGGCTTACTGTCCATACTACTCTTTTCTATGGTTGGGCACCAATGACCTCTATCTTGCCAAATTTATTGGGCACTTTTCAGTTTTCATTTTATGGGAACTAATTATTAGTAGAAATTTTTTTTTTGAAAAATTTTCTTCTCTTAGCTTTTGTGATAACACAATGTCTTGGTTTCCTTCCAACCTCTCTGAATTCTACTTTATGCCTTTGCTGACTTCTTTTCCACCCTTCTCCCTATATAAATGTTATGTGTTTTTTTTTTTTTAAATTCTTAACGTTTATTCATTTTTGAGAGACAGAGACAGAGCATGAGCGGAGGAAGAGCAGAGAGAGAGCGAGACACAGAATCCAAAGCAGCTCCAGGCTCTGAGCTGTCAGCACAGAGCCCGACGTGGAGCTCAAACCCACGAACCGTGAGATCATGACCTGAGTTGAAGTCGGACGCTTAACTGACTGAGCCACCCAGGCGCCCCTAAATGTTATGTTTAAGGTTTGCTACAGGACACTTTTATTCTCTTAACCTATTTTCTAAACTCTAGATGATGCTCTATATTCCATCAACATATAATATGTGGCTCATGATAGTTTTCATCTTTGTCATGTTAGCCCAGATCCTTATTTAGATGTCCATTTTCCTGTTTTGATATAGCTTCTTGGATATTTCACAAAAATCCTTTCTTTTTAAAAGATTGATTTTTATTTGAGAGAGAGGGAGGGAGGGGGGAGGGGAGGGGAGGGGAGGGGAGGGGAGGTTGAGAGAGGTGTGGAGCCTGATGTGAGGCTCAGTCCCACAACCCTGGGATCATGACCTGAGCTGAAATCGAGAGTCAGATGTTCAAACAACTGAGCCACCCAGGCACCCTCCTTTTATTCTCTTTCTCTTAAACTGAATACCCCCAGGTCTTTGCCCCAGATCAGTTTTTTTGATAATTCCCATATTAGTAGATACTTTTTCTGTACTCAGTTGCTGATGTCAGAAACTTAGTTACCTTTGCCATTTCTTTCTGACTCATCAGTTTTGTTTTTTTTAACCACATTGATTCCGTCACTTCAGTCAGTTCTATGTTCAAAGTAAATTGCATATTTACCTATTTCTCTCAACTTTTGCTTTCAGTATGCTAGTCTAAGGTACCAGTAAATATCAATATATTGTTCTTGCACTATGGGGGTAGTCTCCTGCGAGTTCTCTCTACTTACACTCTTGTCTCGCCTTCTTCCATTAGCAGTCGTCATGATCTTTTGAAAACCTAAATCGAATTGTTATTTATGTGTTTAACTCTTCAGTGGACTTATATTTTACTTCAGAATTTAAACTACTTAGAGTGGCCACGGTGTAAGCTGGCCTCTGGCTCCATCTCCAACTTCTCATATTCTCACTTTTATACCACACTTCACATGTACTGATTTTGTCTTACTCTTATTCATCTTGTAAGTCTCAGTTCAAATATGTTACTTCTTCTGAAAGCCTCTTGTTGGCTCCTTAATCTAAATTAGCCCCTCAGTTAGGCTTTCAAAGTGCTTCATACTTGTTCTTCATAATGCTTTTCTCGATTCATAGTTATATGTACATATATATGATTATTTGATTAGTATTATTTCCACACATGAGAATGTATGCTTTAAGAGGGCAGCAACCATGTCTACTTCACTCACACTGCAGCTGCTAAATGAATATTTATTTTCTTGAATAAATGTATTGAGCTCGTTTTCTCTATTTGTGCCCAGCCAGTGTCAGTGTTATTTCTTGGGCTTGTTTTTTCTATTTTAGTGCCTATCTGCTGTGGTCTCTACCTCATTTCAGGGTTTCTGTGTTAACTCTGCTTTTTTGTTTTTAAGCTGGAATAATTAGTACTTTTATATTGGATTTTTAATAAAAAGTATTTTTGTTGGTTCAGTAACTAAAAGATAAATTTTTCTAAAAACAAAACCAAAACCAAAAACAGTGGGCACTTGGGTGGCTCAGATGGTTGAACATCTGACCTCAGCTCAGGTCATGATCTCATGGTTCATGATTTGAACCCTGCATTGCGCTCTATGATGTCAGCACAGAGCCTGCTTCAGATCCTCTGCCTCCCTCTCTCTCTCTGCCCCTCCCCTGCTTGCGACACATTGTCAAAGAAAAGATAAATTTTTCACGAAGTTGAAACATTCAAACTAGCAAATTGAAATCTAAACCTGTTAAAAGTTTTTAAAATTTGACTTTTTTAGATAATAGTTCAGGTACTTATTTAACTTCTGTTTTGTGTTTTTGATTTTCCATCAGCTGATACTCTCCTTAAATTATACTTTTCATGAGACTGGGGCCATAAACAATACAACATAGATATTTTTTAACTTAATAAATCAAGAGTGAATTGCTTATGGGGCGCCTGGGTGGCTTAGTCGGTTGAGCGTCCAACTTTCGCTTAGGTCATGATCTCGCGGTTCATGGGTTCCAGCCCCGCGTCGGGCTCTGTGCTGACTGCCAGCTCAGAGCCTGGAGCCTGTTTCAGAGTCTGTGACTCCCTCCCTCTCTGACCCTCCCCTGCTCACGCTGTCTCTCTCTCTCCTAGAAATAAATTTAAAAAAGCATTAAAAAAAAGAGTGAATTGCTTATTCATCAATTATTTTGTGTGAAATGGTAGGGGGATGATGTAGCCTATTATTATGAGGACTGAGAACAGACAAAATTCCCTTTTTCCTTCTTAGCTCTTTTGCATTTTTTAATACAAGGATTATTATTATTGTTCTTGCTAATTTAAAAGTCCATAACCTCCTGGGAAGCAGTACGCTATTATTTTTTTTCAACTTTTAATACTAGTATAATTAATGTGTAGTGTTATATTAGTTTCAGGTATATAATAGTGATTCAACAGTTCTCTACAGTACTAAGTGCTCACCATGACAAATGTGCTCTTAATCTCCTTCATCTATTTCACCCATTCCCTCCACCCACCTCCCCTCTAATAACCATCAGATCTTTATAGTTAAGACTCTGTTTTTTTGGTTTGTCTCCTTTTTCTTTGTTCATTTGTTTTGTTTCTTAAATTCCACATGTGAGTGAAATCATACAGCATTTGACTTTCTCTGGTTGCTTTATTTCACTTAGCTCTATAGTCTCTAGGTCCCTCCATGTTGTTGCAAATAGCAAGGTTTTGTTCTTTTTCAAGGTGGAATAATATTTGTGTGTGTGTGTGTGTGTGTGTGTACACCACATCTTCTTTATCTGTTCATCTTTTGATGGACACTTGGGCTGCTTCCATAATTTGGCTATTGTAAGTAGTGCTGCAGTAAACAGGGGTGCACATATCTTTCTGAATTAGTGTTTTTATATTGTTTGGTTAGATGCCCAGTAGTACAACTACTGAATCCTATGGTAGTTCTAGTTTTAATTTTTGGAGAAATCTCTGGAAGCAGTATTATTGTTTGAAGACTATTTGTTGATATACCAACTTTGAATTGCAACTACCAATAACATATTTTAAATTTTCTATAGTGTGAATTTTAGAATGCTTTGAAGTGATTGAATGATTTTTGTAAATTTAAGCACAAATTTACAGCAAAATTACTAAATTTCTTTTAGCCATCTGAAGATGAAGATCAAATATTGCAGCATGTTGAAGAATCAAGTAGGAGATCCATCAGAATCAAAGACACAACTAGCAATTTTTATCTAGAAAGGATGCCAAGACTATCATATGATAGGATTATTAAAAACAGTGCCAAAATTTATGAACAAAATGAGAAGCTTCACCACCTCTCAATGAAAAATAATACAGATCAATTTCCAGAGTCTCAGTGTAATTCAGCACACAATTCGCAGAATAAAACCAATAATAACTGCATTCTGCAGGTTGCAAGATGTGATGCATGGGTACAAACAAACAGTGAACCTATAATAGAAGAAAAATTAGATGTTGCCATACAGTGTGATTTAATTTCAGAATGTAAATGTAGAAGCAATGTGTCTTCTCTTTGTAATGTTGAAAGATGCAGTGAAAATATTAAGGCAGATACCACTGGAGGGCAGGAAATCCTTAAGAACAACTAATAATCTAAAATCTCACCCTGAGAGTTAGCATTTTGCTTAATGTTCAGAATTTCATTAATATAATAGGGAATGAGAATATGTAGCTAGGCAGAAGGTAAAAGTATTTATAGGATGTATTAATGGCTTGTTTTAAAACATTTTAATAGTAATGTATACATTAATTTTATGTAGATATTTCTTTAAACATATATGTAGCTATATCTTCAAGATATACATATCTTCAGTTTTTGAAAAAATGTGTATGTAAATTTACTGTCTATAATTCTCATGGTAATTATTATATACTGCTATTTATGGATAAAGTATGTTTAATTGCCTCCTATTATGTTTTCTTTATTTTAAAATTTAGTGCAGTTGCATCTGTTAGCAAAAATCTCTTCTAAGATTTTAAGACTGAAAAATAATGCTAAATAATTACATATGTTTTATAATCTCAAGAGTTTTATATTACAAATTTGTGTGTCATCCTTGTGTAGGGGCTGTGCTAATTTTCTCTGTATTGTTCTGATTTTAGTATATATGCTACCAAAGCAAGCACTGTTAGCTACTTATACTATTATACCCTTATTAAAAATTCTGACATTAATTTTTAGATGAAATATATTTTCTAGCTACTGATATTAAATTATACCCTAATTTAAAAATTCTGGCATTAATTTTTAGATAAAATATTTTTGTTTGGATAACAGTTTTCGGTGCTTGTATTAATCCAAAGGTGCTTGTATTAATGTTTTTCTTTTCAAGATAAAAAATATGTCATTGCTTTTATAAAAGAAGTGTTCAACATTAGAAGAAATGATTTATGTTTACTAATTTTAATATTGCTAAGGTTCTTTTCAAAATATTATATCAGAATTTCTCATATATAAAGTATAGTCATGTTTCCAACATAACATTTATTTTTTGTGTCAAGATTTTACATGTCTGTACTCTGAAATCAACCATTTTATACAGCACAGGACATTATGATATGTAACTGAACCAAAAATAAAATAGGAGTTTCTGTGGCTTTAAAGAAAAGGATGATGAGATATTCCATTGTTACATGTGCACATATCAAATCAGTATTTTGTGCTGAAGGGGTGATCTAAAGTATAATGATTTAGAAACACCAATGGCTGATATAGCAATATTCAGTTTTCAGCTAGTTTTAAAAAGTTATTTTTCCAGGCTCAGGAAGCTCAAAGAGCTCCTGAGTAATTTTCTTAAGGTATAGTAATCATCTTATGAAAGGGGAATATAATTATCTGATACACATTGATAGTATTTCAAAAGGCCAGATTTTCATTGTTATATTAACAAAAGTACTCCATCATGGATTGGTTATTCTGAGCATTATTCTGCAAAATATGACATGGCAATGAAGACCAATATAGAAAAAGAAGACCCTCTACCTGTGATACTAGAATAAGATTGAGCTGCGATTCTTGAGTTGGTTTCAAATATCAAATAAATGGATTTTTTCCCAAATACTGTGCTAATCAAAGTCTAGGAGTATTGAAAGCATATTTATTACAAAAATCTACATGTAATTATATTTTTAACAATATCATAATGTGGCAATTAAGCTCAGTAAGGTAAAAAGGAATGTCAGGGCTTTTTAGTGCAGTGACCACACCTAGACGTAAGGTACAGTGTAGTAAAGAATGTAAACTTGCCCAAAAGAAGGTCTTCCCTTTGCTCTTAGGTTTGGGGATGTAATCTCTATACCCTTGGAGTGTCATGCATGCCTGGTAGAAATGTCTTTGTTAGCCTGGGGACCTTGGACCAAGCTATATAGTAACTGTGATTTAGAATGAGGCCTTGTATCAAGCAGTCTCAGCTCAAGTTCTTTTTTTTTTTTTTTTTAATCTTTTAATGTTTTTTATTTATTTCTGAGAGAGAGAGAGAAAGAGAGAGAGAGAGCATGATGAGCAGGGGAGGGTCAGAGAGAGAGGGAGACACAGAATCTGAAACAGGCTCCAGGCTCTGAGCTGGCTGTCAGCACAGAGCCCAATGTGGGGCTCGAACCCATGAACCGTGAGATCATGACCTGAGCTGAAGTCAGCCGCTTAACTGACTGAGGCACCCACCCCTCAGCTCAACTTCTTAAGGTTAGAAACTGAGGTCACCATGCCACTCTGCTGTAACCTCAGGAGAGACTCTGGATACTAAGGTTTGATTGAGCTTACCTGGTTGGTAGTATTGTATATGCTATCACTCAGTGATCCCAGGAAAGTCTCTGTCTCCACAGAAGAGGTCTACTAGAAGGTCTTCGTCTATTACTTTCTTTCCATTGGTTTTCTAGAGTCTGTCCTGTGTGTTTCTTCCCTAGGCTGATTTTAATGCATATTCTTTTCCTCTAATAAACTGTAATTCTGAGTATAACATCTTTCAATGAATTCTGAGTCTTTGTAAAGCAAGTTATCAAATTTGAGGGTGCTCTTGAAACTCCTAATGTAAGGGTAGTTTTGTGGTTTGGTGCTTTAAGAAGATAAATCTATTTGGAAAGAAAAGTGAATATGGATTTACAAAATCAAAAAGACACAACTTACACAGTAGAATAGATTGTAGCATACTTCTCAAAATCCAATATGGTTTAGGCTTTCCTTTGGTGAAAGAAACCATTTAATGAAAAAACAATGAACAGAAGTGAACAGCTTTCTTTCCATATTCACAATTTAAGATTTATAAAACAAATCCTAACTAAGGTTTATCCAAATGAGACAAAATGGAAAGATCAGTGATTGTGCACACATTTGTAATGTAAACTACCAATCACAGTGACTCCAAATAAGATAATGTACAGTCAGTAATGGCTGATGTATAGGATATGATCTGGAGTTAGAGCCTAACATATTTATGAAACAGTGCTTTATTTTGGTCAGCATTAACTACTCTAGTAAGTGCAATCTGTAATAATATGAGGCTATCTTTAGGGATAGTCTCATGTAATTTTGTTTTTAGTGCTTATCATAATTTAAATTTATTTGTATAATTTCTTGGTTAATGTTTATTTTCCCCATGACACCACACATAGCAGTGTAGCAAATGCTGCCATTTCTTTGCTCATATTTCCTTGGCTCTTTCAATTTAAATACATGCCAACCTGATTTCCAACTGACAGCACCTGTGACTTTTTTCCTGCGAGGATTCTCTTGGCTGCAGACCCCTGTGTTGACTATGTGCAGGCAGGCAGGAGGTGCCAGGGGATTAATGCTGGTTGAGAGAAGTCTTTTAAAACAATGACTGATGGAAGTTGGTGGGTAAATACTCCAGCTCACTTTCCTTTTGGGCAGGATAACTCCCTCAGAACCATTTTCTGCACCACTCAAAGTGTGATCCACGGACCTGTAACATTAACATTACCACTGTGCAGGAGTTAGAGGTGCAAATTCTTACCACCCACCCCCAAATTAGTGAATTAGAATCTCTGGGGGGTGGGGATCAAGAATATATGCTTAAATAGGTGATATTTATGTACCCTGAAGTTGGAGAAACACTATCCTTCAAGAATTCCTCAGAAGGGTTAAGTTGCCTACAAGAGTAACTTACTCTTGTAGCCAATAATAAACCCTGTATTGGCTTCCTTCCTTTCCTATCTCATTTTCCTACTCCCCTACTAGTTTTTCTTGAAATCACAGAAAGAAAAAAAAATACATGCACTTAATTGTTGCTTTGAGTTTTACCTTCTAGTTTGCTTCTGGGAGTATCCGTATTGACAGAGACCATGACAAATTGATGACTGAATTTTCTTTGAAAGCGTGATTCAAATTGACACTGCTACTTTTTCTAGTGTTACAGTTCCAGTTCCAGTTTTCCATTTTTGCCACCTGCTGAAAATTCAATAAGTGCATCTAACAGCATATTAGACACAAGTGAAGAGAGAATTTTTGAAGTGAAATATACATCAGAATAAATTGTCCAAAATGCACAAGAGAAAAAGAAAATGAGTGAAACGATGAGGAAGATAAAGGAGCTCCAAAATATACTTACTGAAGTATAAGTATGGTTGAAGTATCAACAGTAGAGGAAAGAATGGGATAGAGGCATAATTTAAAGCAATAATGCCTGAGAATTTTTCAAAATTGATCAGTCCTACTAATTCGCAAATTCAAGAAGTCCAAGAATTTCCAAGTAGGAAAAATAATATGAAATCCATGTCTAGATCCAGGATCATAAAATGGCAGAGCCTGACAGAAGATCTTGAAAGCAGCTGAAGAGAAAAAGATTACCTTCTAGAAGAACAGCTACACTGATGACTTTTTAGTAGCAATAATGGAAGACAAAATATAGTGTAATTATACCTTCCAAATCATGACAGGGAAAAGCTATCATTCTAGACTTGTGTTTCTTTCCCTATAGCTCTAGCACTGTTTGAAACCACCAAACTAGTCAATACTAGCATTAAGAAATAATTTCTGCAGGATTTCGTGATTTATACTTAAGGCTTTTGTATGTAGATAGTGCTTTTTCTTTAAGGGAAAGTTTCTCATTTTTTTTTCACTGTTTGGTCTTCAACCCATATGCTTAGTAATTTTTTCATTGCTTCTATTTCTTTAGGCTGCCTTCTTACTGCCTTTGCAACATTGGCTCAAAGACAGGAATTTCTTTTACTTTTTCAGTGTTATCTCTGCTGGTCTGCAGTATGTATTCCTTTATGCCTGTCACTGAGGAGATATCATTCTCATTTATTTTAAATGCTCTTTCATTTCAAGCTTCTTTAATACGTAAAGCTTTCCTTTTATGTGCACTGCTTGGCATTTTTGAATCAGGATGCTCAGACTTTTTTGAGATGTTGAATACACACACACACACACATATATTTATTATATATGTATAATTTCCACAAATGTGAAAGAATAGCAAAACATAAATGATAATATAATGCATCTAGATAACTGGTAGGTTTTTGAATATGTGCGTGTTCATTCTGTGTATACCTATGTGACTCAGTTCAAATGGGTGCAGTTTTGTCCATTTACCTAGGGTTTCTTGTAAATGCAATTGCATATCAGTCTGTGAAATTTACTTTGTAAATTACATTGTACTTAAATTGTTCCCTAAATTTGCCTTCCCTTAACAGTTGTTACAGCAAAACTTAACGTTTTTTTTTTTTTTACCAGACCATAGTGTCTTTTCAGTTTTTTAATGTGTCTTTGAAAAGCAAAAGTTCTAAATTTGATAAAATTGAATTTATCTTTTCAGAAAAATTAACGAACATGCTTACAATTCTCTTCTGTGTTTCCTTCTAGAAGTTTTATATTATTAGTTGTTACATTTAGGCCTTTGATTTATTCCCAGTTTATATTTATTTTGTACCATGTAAGGTAAAAAAAAATTATTTTAACATAGATATCTAATTGCTCCAGCAGCATTTGTTGAAAAGCCAATTCTTGCACCCAGTGAATTAACTTTATGCCTTTGTCAAAAACCATTTGAGCATTATCTATGACTTTGAACTCTTTATTAATGTTCTATTGATCTGTCTCTCCTTGTGTGAAGAACACATTGTCTTGATTAATGTAGCTTCACAATAAGCAGGTTTTGAAATCAGTATTACTACCTGTTTTTTAAAATAATTACTTTGGCTTCATATGAATTTACATATAAGATTTGGTCTCAGCCTGTCAATTCCTCAAAAAAAAAAATCTAGTTAGATTTTGATAGGGATTGTGTTGAATCTGTATATAGTGATTTGGGGATGATTAACATCTTAATAATCTTGAGTTTTACAATCAATGAATATTTACATCCACTTATTTTTAATTTCTTATACCCATCTTTTGTATAGACTTCTTCATGAGCAAATATATATTGCTGTTTTAAGCCACTGAGTTTTGGGGTTTGTTACCCAATAGTAGACAATTGGAACACATTTTAGTACCTGTAAGTGAGGTGCTGCCAGAACAAAAACCTAAAACGTGGCTTTGGATGGAATGGCAGGCTAAAGCTGGAAGAACCTTGAGAAAATTATTCAAGTATAGTAGCCCTTGAAGAGATGGTTAGTGGGAGCCTTGGAGTCCTCAAGGTGACCACTGAGTGAGAATTGAAAGGAAATTGAGGATAATGGTATCAAAAGTTGGAAGAATGGGGACATTTATTATGTAATGGCAAAAAGTTAAGCAACACTGTAACCTGCAGTAATGCAGAAAATAGAGCTAACAAGAAAATAGAGCTACACAATTAAGGAGATTTCAAATTACTGAAGTGGCTTCTAGCTGTCTGTAGTAAAATGCAAGACGAGAGTATTAAGCAAAAGAAATACTTTTATATGTAATAAAGCTTGGAGTTGCTGAAATCAAAAATGAAACTTTCTCATTCCAGTTTCTTCAGATGGCAAACAATGGTAAAATATGAAAAAGCTTTTGAACAAGGTCAGTTGCAGGACAGTGTCAGGAAAT